TTCACTTAAAACTTTTTTTGAAACCCACCTCTATACCAATAGACATTTGAGGAAAAACAATTCAGGCCACTGTGTTGACATTAAAAAAATCTTTGCCAAGTACATAGCCCAGGATTCCCTTTTCAATCAACAATCTATGATTCTTACATTTCAAGTGACATTACACCTGAATTTTCTACCAAAAGCTTGGATGAAATAAGAGAGAAAAGTGATTAAAGGATATAATGCTTATTATTTGTTCTAGCCCATTTTTAGAAAGCCATATGAATAGACTCTCTTTTTTATTTTTATTTTAAAAGTTTTTTTCACCCTAGCCACTTTGGATCAGTGGTTAGAGTGTCACCCCAAGGACTGAAGGATTGCAGGTTCGATTCCCAGTCAAGGGCATGTACCTTGGTTGCAGGTTTAATCCCAGGCCCTGGTCCGGGTCTTGTGGGACACAACCAGTCGATGTTTCTCTCTCTCCCTCCCTTCCACTCTAGCTAAAATCAATGAGGGGAAAATATTAAAAACATTTTTTTCTTTGTGCCTGGACTCTCTTACCTCATTTTTTAAAAAAATCTGCACCCAGGGATATTTTTATATTTATCATCAGATAGAGTAGGAGGGAGAGAGAGAAACATGGATGTGAGAGAGACACAACTCAACCAGGGCCGGGGATAAACCACAACCAAGGTACGTGCCCTTGACTGGAATCAAACCTGCGACTCATTGGCCTGTGAGCCGATGCTCTAAGCTGGCCAGGGCCTTTTTTAAAAAAAAACTTATCTTTAAAAAACAAAAACAGCCCTGGCTGGTTTGGCTCAGCGGTTACAGTGTCGGCCTGCGGTCCAGAGAAAAAACAAAAACAAACAAACAAAAAAAAACAACTTATCTTTATTGTTGAATTTATTACAGATGTCCCTCTTTTTTTCCCCCTCGAGCCCCTCTTCCCCAATCATGTCCCCCTCCTGCTTTCCCCACACTACTGTCTGTGTCTATTGGTTATGAATATATGCATATAAGTTCTTTGGTTTCTCTCTTCCCACCCTACTTCCCCATTTCCCTTTGAGGTTCATCAGTCTAACAATCAATTTGTACTTCTTAATCCCTTCATCTTTTTCACCCATCTCCCCAATCTCCCTCCCATCTGGCAATCAATGAAAAGTTCTCTGTATCTATGAGTCTGTTTCTGTTCTGCTTGCTCATTTTCTTTGTAGATTCAATTGTTGATAGATATGTATTTATTGCCATTTTATTGTTCATATATATATATATATATATATATATATATTTTTTTATCCTTACCCGAGGACATTTTTCCATTTTTTTGTTCAGATAGAGTGGGAGGGAGAGAGAGGAAGACAGAGGGAGAGAGAGAGAGAGAAACATCGACGTGAAAGGAACACATTGAGTGGTTGCCACCCGCACGACTAACCAGGGCCGGGGACAAACCGCAACCAAGGTATGCGCCCCTAGCAGGAGCTGAACCCTGGTCTCTCCGGACCGCAGGCCAATGCTCCAACCGCTGAGCCAAACTGGCCAGGGCTTGTTCATATTTTTTTATCTTCTTCTTTTTCAAGGAGACATGTCAACATTTTATATAATATTGGTTTGGTGGTGATGAACTGCGTTAGCTTTTTCTTGTCTTGAAAACTCTTTATATGGCCATTGATTCAAATGATAACTTTGCAGGATAGAGTAATCTTGGTTGTAGGTCCTTGCTTTTCATCACTTTAAATATTTCTTGCCACTGCCTCCTGTCTTGCAGTTTCTTTTAAGAAATCGGCTGACAGACTTATGGGAGCTCTTCGTAGGTAACTAAATGCTTTTCTCTTGCTGCTTTTGAGAGTCTCTCTCTTTTTCTTAAACTTTTGCATTTTAATGATGATGTGTCTTGGTGTGGACCTCTTTGGGTTCATCTTGTTTGGGACTCTGTGCTTTCTGGACTTGTATGTCTGTTTCCTTCACAAAGTTAGGAAAGTTTTCTGTCATTATTTTTTCAAATAAGTTTTCAATTTTTTGCTCTCTCTCTTTTCCTTCTGGCACCCCCATGATGCTAATGTTCGCATGTAGGGATGGGGGGTTGGTGGATGGACGATCTGTAACCTTTGATATACATTCTCACAACCTGGCCAGCCTAGGATCAAAGTGTGTGTGTGGACAGACAGGTTTGACTGGAAGGAAGGAAAGTTGCCTGGAAGCTTCGTTTGCATGTGAATAAGAAGGTTTACATGACAAAGGTTGGAACACCACCTTGTGTGGCCAATGAGTTATAGAACTCAGGAGTGTCTGGGTTTGTTATTTTTTAGCTTTGAAGTCTCTTTCCACAGTAAAAAGCAAGAGACAAGGCTAAGGCTAGGCTGTATGTTTTGCAGAGACATCATCTCAAGGAAATAATTTACATAAATCTGTATGTAACTTGGGGAACCAATCTGCAAATAAATTGGGCTGTATCCAGAGATCTGGAGCATTTTCTCCCTTGCTATGCTCCCCCTCACTCCTACCAGCGTGTGCTTGTAGTTCATTGCATTGTGCCGACCCCCAGCAGTCCAACAGAGACTGCATTGGTATGCTTGAAGTCGGCCCAGAGGCTCCTTACACTATTCTCATTTTCTTGGATTCTTTTTTTCCTCTGCTATTCTGATCTGGTGTTTTTTGCTTCCATATATTCCAAATTGATGGTTTGCTTCTTGGCTTTACCTACTCTACTATTGATTCCCTGTAAATAATTCCTTTTTTTTTTTTTCATCCTCACTTGAGAACATTTTTACATTTATCTTTAGATAGAGTGGGAGGGAGAGAAGGAGGAAAAGAGAAACATCAGTGTGAGACAGACACATCCAGTGGCTGCAAACACATGACCCCAACCAGGGCCAGGGACAAACTGCAACCGAGGTACGTGCCCTTAGCAGGAATTAAACCCAGGACTCTCTTGTCTGTGAGCCAATGCTCTAACAATTGAGGAAACCGGCCAGGGCTGTAAATTATTCTTTATTTCAGTTAGTGCTTCCTTCATTTCTGACTGGTCCTTTTTCATGTTGTTGATGTTCTCACGAAGTTCCTTGGAGGTCTCACTAAGTTCCTTGAATGTCTCACCAAGTTTCTTAACCAACCATATAACCACTGTTTTGAACTCTGCATCTGATTGATTGCTTATCTCTATTTTGTTTAATTCTTTTTCTGGAGTTTTGTTCTTTTCTTTCATTTGGGACATATTTCTTTGTCTCCTCATTTTAGCTGCCTCACTGTGATTGTATTAGGTAGAGTTGCTATGTTTCCTAGGCTTTGTAGGGTGGCCTATTGTGGTAGGTGTCTTGTAGGATCCAGTGGCACAGCCTCCGTGATCACCCCAGCTGGGCCCTTGAGGTGCACCCCTAGTGTGGACTGTACGCCCTTCTGTTGTAATTGAATTGATTCCTGTTGGCATGTCAGTAGGAGAGATTTACTCAGGCTGATCAGCTGCAAGGACTGGCTGTGCCCACTGACCACTGGCCTCTGACTACCTTGGAGGATCAGCTGTGTAGGGGCCCACCACACAGAACTAGTCTTACTTCATCAGGACTCTGGTACCCACTGAGTCCTTTCATTGAGTGAGTCACTTGTGGATGTGGTTGGGTGGCGGTGTTTCAATGTGGTCTGAAGTCCACTGGGTGTGCTGGCTCTGGGGCAAGGTCAGCCACTGCCTGTGTTCTACCCAGGGTCACCAGGCATAAGCTACAAAGCAATCTGCAGATGGCTGCTTCTTGTGCTGGGCTTGGCGGTGCCCAGGAAAAGCCAAGTTGTGAACCAAGACTGGCTGCTTCTAGTGCTGGGCCTGGGGCCACTTAGTGAGAGGTAAGGGGCTCCCTGTGGCCAAATGCTGCTTGTTTGAGTGAATTTAGGAAAATCTGAAGCAGGAGTCAAAGCAGGCCAATCCTATGGTAAACCCATTTAAAACAACTTGAGTGGGCCTGAAAGTTGGGTGGGGCAGGGCCTCAGGGAATCACCAGGGCTCTTACCTTATCTTCATAGAAATACATTCAAACAACATTATACAAGGTGGAGCAAAAGTAGGTTTACAGTTGCTCACATGGAAAATAATACAATAATTAATAAATTACAATACAAGAAAAAATTGTTTCACATACTCATAACTCTAAACATTCTTTTGCCCCACTCTGTATGCTGTTGGACATTTTGGATAGTTTATATGAAGGCCTCCCATCTGGTGTGCTGTGGTCACAAAATGGTGATAAGTATTATGGTGATCTCCTCAGTCATCTCTTTGAATGTATACATTTTTCTCTGTGTGTCATGATGTGAAAAAGTTTGGGAAGGTCTGGTTTACTGAACAAATAGCCATATGAACATTTTATCTTCTATAATCTGCTCTCGAAGACACTAGTCTTTCAGCACTGAAAAGGATTTTCCCATTAAATTGGTATATTATATCATGAGTATGAATGAACTTGTTTTTCTTTTTGAACTAGTATATTCTAAATTTTGTGCTCAACTACACTAGCCATCTTTAGTCTAAATTATCTACTACACTTACAGTTGCTCACTATATTTCATCACTAAACAGTTCTTTTAATACTCTATTCAATATTTTTGTTATAGAATGTAACCTATGACCTATTTAGAAGTAGAATGGATTGAAAATGATAAATGAATTAATAAAAATTTCAGAAAAAGATGTCTGTATAATTATGAACTATCTGGTATTAGTATTCAATATATTTCTGTAAAAATGGAAATTAAAAATTACCCTAGAAAGAGCACAATAAAATTTACCACCTCAATCTTGTGACTTGTAACTCAAAAAGAACACACATATACACTCATTAGTCATTGCATGTAATTCTATGCAGGTTTCTGGTTTACATAATAACTTTTGAGATGAACCATATGAAGCTAACATTGTTACAGGTAACAAAATGGTTAAATATTGACAATTTCATATAGTTCAACATAAATAGGAGAAAAGGATTTTTTTGCTAATAGGATATATATATATTAACAACAGAATTATGTCTCACCTGAATGATCTCAGCATTCGATAGGACTTTCCTAAATCAGATACTCTTCTGCAGAATGGACCCACAGCCAACTCCATCTGAAATATTACAAAATAATACTCATAACTTTAATGTCTGAATCCTAAGGTGAACTGGGCCAAACCTGGTTCATAGAAAGTTGTAGCTTGCACTAAAGTCAATTTTATCTTGACTGTGACGCATGTTTTAAAAGTAAACCAAATTTATTAAAAGATAAGAACTTAGATAATTTTTGCACTTACTTAGTAAAGGTGCATAAAGTGAAACAATTCCTTCTAGAAAATAGAAAAACATTTTTTGTTATGTAAGAGGAGAAAGTTTAGACCTTTGTTCCATTAAAATAGTCCGAAAAAAAGAAGGTTTTCAAGACTAATTGTGTGCCTATACTTTAAGTAGGCATAATAAGCCTTATATTAAATATAAATAATGACCATTTTTATTGGGCTGGCCCAAGTGGTTGAAAGCACTGACTCTGGAGGCAGCACATCTGTGTAAGAATTCCAATCTGCAATGACTAGTGTGTGGCCCTGAACTTAACTTCTTTAAGTCTCCGGTTTCTTATTTGTCAAGTGGAGATAATATCTACTTAATAAAATCATGCAAATAAATAATTTCACAAAGCACTGTGTATATGGCATATATAATGCATGACAATTATCAGTATTTTAAAAACTTTCTCCAGTTTAAATGATTAGTACATTAATTTGCATTCTGACTCAATAATTCAGCAACTATTGGTTTCAATTCTCTTTATTTTCTTCCATTGATTGGAAATTTTGTCATTAATTGGAGTTTTAGGCTACCTGTTCTTTATCTACCAATTGCATAAGCTAAGTTTTTGCATGTATGGCACTCAGATAACACTATTTCTCAGCTGTTGCTATAAAGAAGATCCTAGTAAAAAATCGTTTAGAAAATAGCTGAAAAAAAAGGCTGCTCCCTGGTAATGCAGCATCTTTCTTTAAAAAATATATACAAAAGGAAACTAGAGGCTTCCATCTTGCTGGCCAACCTTCTGAAAAACTTTTTTAAAAAAGAAAAATTTTTTTTCTTTATTGATTTAGAGAGAGAGGAAAGGAGAGGGAGAGAGAGATAGAAACATCAATGAGCGAGAACACTGATTGGCCGCCTCCTGCATGCCCCCCACTGGAGATCAGGCCCATATCCCGGGAATGTGCCCTGACCGGGAATCGAACTGGCAACCTCTTGGTGCATGGGTCAATGCTCAACCACTGAGCTACACTGACCAGGCCTAAAAAACTTTTCAAATCTCCTTGCCATTAGTAGACTATGGAGACCTAAACAATACTTCTTTTGAGAAAGATTTTTGACTCCCTATTCAATGTAGGCATGAAGCTAGACATGGGGATGAGCAGATGAATTAGACTGTCTTGCCTTCAAGGAGCTCTCTCAAACTTAGTGAAGAAGAGGATATATATTTATCTAAACAATTATTAATCAAAACGATTATTAATCAAAACAATCATAAGAAAGGTGTCTGTGTCTGTGTGTATACATATATGCACACAGACACACACACTCAATTATTCAGCAAAAGGACATATGGTATCAACTGTATGAACTGAGTTTAGGAGAGAAATAAAGGGCAGCGTCCTTGAGATCATCTTGAGGGTGACTTCTGGACAGGTGGATTTCTCTCTTAACATAGACATAGAGTATACACTATATGTCCTAGAGGAAAACTCAGTTTTAAAAAACTTGCTAAAATAGAGAAGAATAAATAAATAAAAACAGTAAAATTTCAGAAAGAAGAGTCAGAATTTTTGCCTATATTGCAGAACAGAGCAGCTTTGAGCTGGTGCTCAACTCAAAAGACAGTGGGTGATGGGCTGTTGTGTGGGGCCTGTTTAGTGTCTTCACTCTGTGGAGTTTCTGGTTTTCTTCAGAACATGTCATTTACTTTACACTTGAGCACAAAGTAAAAATGTGATTATTTGGTAATTCCAATCATATACTATCTCTGTGTGTGTATGTATGATGGCTTTTCACACAATGAATTTATGTAAAGTATTTTTCATGAATACAAATAAGTGGCTGGGGAAAATATTACAACACAAAAGAATATGACCTCGAATGGCTGTATAATCTAGGACAATGAAGGAGATTTCTATGCCATATGACAATTTCAAAATGTTAAGAGCTTAAAATTAATTTTTCATCCATTAAGAAGCTCTAGGGTACTGAAAACCATTTTCTTCTGCCAGAATTCCATTATATAATAAAGGTCATGTTTCTGAAGGGCAGGAGTGTTAGTTTTAAATGGCATGTGCAGCTGCCTCTCTCAGCTTGGTTTGGAGGGAAAGAGTGGTCAGCTGCAGGCCTAGTGAACTAATTATATAGCTGCTCCTTACCTATCATAGACATTTGGTTAACCACAGGGCATCTCTGGATGCTCCTAGGACACTCCTGCCCTGACATGTTCATGAGAAAAAGCAATAGGAATTAGAAGAGAAATTAGAATCTTGATTATTCTGTTTTCTTTTCTAAGTTTGTATTTCTAGGCAAAAAAAAAAAATGAACTGTAGATATAAATGTATACTTGAAGAACACCAGAAGACCTACAAGTAGAAACTGCTGGTAGTACTACTGAGTAAATGATTTAATTCAATAGTCATCCATTCCCTCAAGGCAGAAATGTAACAGAGAAGCAAAGGAAGTATGTGCTTCAGAGGACATTGTGGACAAGTCCCTGAAGAGTTTTGGAATCAGCAGAGCCCTGTGGCCTTGGACAAATAAGTGCTTTGGAACTGCGTTGTGATGAGTGTAGACACAGAGACCATGTGGGCACAGTAAGGAATTAATTACCCGTAAGAAATCACTTTGTGCCGTGGCCTGATTCCTAGAGAACTGTGTTGGGTACTTCCTCACCACCAACCCTACAGATGGCACCCTGCAACTACGTTCTCTCACCTGTGCAATAGTGCCAGTGGGAAGAACTTAGGATTCCTAAAGAAATCTTTAAAATATATAATCATCTGTCTTTTTAGTTGGACTTTATGCCAGATAATCAGTATTCCCAAATATACTCCAGTGGTCTCTTCTTGAGCAATGTCTTTTTCTGTTATTTACGCCTGAATAGCAGGCACTTTTCTCACAAGAAGTCTTTTCAAACCCACAAAGGGTTTGTGTATTCCTGATTCCAGTGGCCTCAATGGCTTTGTTTAATTTGGAATACAAATTGCTAGAACGTTCAATAATGAGGCAGTGTAAGGCTTTCTAGTCCATAGTTGATGCCTGTCATGAATATAAATGTCAGGGTGATGCTATCTAAGTGTTTTCACTGACTCCAGAAGAATACTTCCACCCAAGTAAGATTCTGAAAACTGAGGTACAACAACACATAATTGTGGCTGTGGAAAGACATCAAATACCTCCAGGAAAGTGACTCAAATAAAAACTCCAAATTCACTTTAATTTTTTAAAATATGGGTGAGAGATAATATAACAGCTGCATAATATTTGCCAAAATTACTGGTCACAAACATGATAATGATAGTACTTCCACATGTCTTTTCTGTGTCCACTACTCACAGGACCAGGAAGACATTTCCAAAGGTAAATGGAGGGATGTTCTAAAACTGGGGGACAATGTACAGAAGTGAATCAAGAAATCAGCACCACACAGACTGTGGCAACCAATGTCACTGCAGGACTGGAAAATATACTGTTAACACTGAGAAAATGCTGTGTTATAAATGCCTTTTCTCTCTATATTTAAGAAATGAAAAACATAGAATGCCTTGGAGCATGTAAGAGCTTCATTTACATGAAGGGAAAGAGCCTGAGAAAAGGTTTGGTTTATTGGGCAACATGTCTTTAAAAAGAAAGAGTGCCAAATAAAATTCTGAATGATGCAGTTTCAGAAAGGTGGGAGCTCAGCCCGCCACTGGGTGCTATCTGTGCATTTGGAGCAGGTGCTTGCTGCAGTTGGAAGGGTTTAACAAATGCTTTCCATCTTTCAAGACTCATAGGAACATATTAAAATAAAAAGCAAAAACAAAAAGCCTTCTTCTTATAGCACTCTGGCTCTGACCATCTCCTGCTTTGCTGACACTCTAACTGGACTTGAAGTGTTGCCTCCAGGAAAGTGACTCAAGAACTAGCTGGAGTAGAATGCAGAGATGGAGCCCAGGGGAGAGAAGAGGATAGAAAAAGAAGAAACAAAATTAAGAAGGAAAGGGCAAAAGAAGAATAGACATTCATTTGAATATAGCTCACAACAATTTTAATAAATAAGAGCAGGTCTCGGTACATCCCTGTGTCTTCATTTCAATAACAATCTATAAGCCCAGTAAGGAACAAATAAAACAATATTTATATATAATTCTCTTGAAGCATAAGTTTACCTGTAATCACAAAGCAAAATATACAGGTGCCTGAGAATGAAGCTGATAAAAATGGGAAAGGTAAAAGGAGCTACCTTAATGGTAACAATTAATTTCTATTTTCACGTTAAGGCTACCAAAGGCATATTTCCCAAAAGAAACTCTTTATTATGGTCTATTGGCCTCTGGCATATCATTTGGGGATAAAAATTACTTATTTCTAGACAAACTGATATGCAAAGAGCCCATCTCTCTAAACATTAGGTTATGTACTTGGTTCCTTTTTGTGGCTCTATCAGGTATGAGGGAGTGTCAGACAACCACCATCCTGGTACAAGCAGCCTGCCTCATCCTTTTCTCCGTGCAGGAAGAATATACCAAGACTTGCTCATAGATACACACAGGAAGAAATAGGGACATTAAAATCTGTGTTTATCTTGCCCTGGCCGGTTTGGCTCAGCGGTTAGAGTGTCGGCCTGTGGTCCAGAGAGACCCGGGTTTGGTTCCCGATAAGGGCGTATACCTCAGTTGCAGTTTGTCCCCGGCCCTGGTTGGTCGTGTGGATGGCAGCCATCTCGATGTGTCCCTTTCACGTCAATGTTTCTCGCTCTCTTTCCCTCTTTTCCTCTCTCTCCCTCCCACTCTATCTGAACAAAAAATGAAAAAATGTCCTCGGGTGAGGATCAAAAAAAATCTGTTTATTTTTATAAGCAGGAGGAATCTGGGAAACCACTATGAACAACCCATTTGAATAACTATTTAGATTAGTAAAGCTAACAGCTTTGAAAGGCTTAAAAATGATTTCACCTTGATATGCTATGTAAATGCAAATTATCTGTTTCTGAATTTTAATAAAAGTGGATGTTTGAGATGTTTCTCTTTGCCTCTGATACCATTAAAATTCTTAAAAATATGTATTAAAGGATAAAAAAACCCCCAAACAAACCCTTTCTATAAAAGCTGATTATGGTTGTTAATGTCATTTTACCTCTTCCACATCACATAACTTGGAATGATTTCAAGCTGGCCATATATAAGAAAAAAAGGTACTCCATTTAATACTGAGGCCCCAATACTCATACTCTTTTATCTACCTAGCCCACAGTGCATCTATAGGAATTAGAACACTGTCTTGGAATGTTGAGCTGGCCACCAGAGGGTTACAGATGTGCTGGAGTTCTTTCTCTTTACATGACAATAGACAGCCCCTTTACAGTGTTTGAAGGATAAATTTCATTGTCTACATTATTTTCTAGCAATTACTCTTATCAGTACTGCCCTATTCTGGTGAGATAGCAAAATAGTTAAAAAACCCCATATTACATAAAAGAGGGAAATGTTGCTTTACAGTGAAGTGAGCAACTTTACCTTCACCGTGAAGTATCAAAGATGAGTGATGATTCTTTTGTTAAATTCAAGGGGAATAATCTACTATGAATTAACTGGTATGAAAGCACCTTTAAACTTTTTTTTTTTTTTTTACACCAATTAGATTTAAATAAATTTTTTTCATACTTCATCTCTTTAAAACACTGACAAATACATATTTAATCTTTTATTTAACAGATAATATTGAGTCTGAAATGTTTTCCTGTGTGTAGCTATGCATCAATTTACCTGTGCAAAATCAGCAGCAAGTCGCATTTTCCCACCTTCACCAAGAGGTCTTATGAGACTGGCATTGCGGATAAAAAGTTCAATTGCTCTTTGGGCAATAGCTTCAGTGTTGTCAAAGACAAAATCCAAGCATTCAAAGTGCTTAAAGTAGTCACTCATAACTCTGGCAATGAAACCTTGAAGCTCTTTCATATATAGAGAACAAGGAACATCAGGCTTTCCTGAGCCGGTTAATGACCTGCAAAAAAACACAAAAAAACAGCCAATGTACTAAAAGAACTATTCGACTTTTGTTCCTCCTTCAACGTATCAAACCTAAGCAATTTTTTCCCCTTATGGTGTAGAAAAGGCATTGTTTATTTTTGCTAAGAGTTAAAAGGTATAAAACAATGCTAGGAAGATTACTGAAGGAATCGTAGAATCCATTTAACGAAAGATTAAAAAAATTTTTTTTACTGATTGATTTTAAAGAGAGAGGAAGAAAGAGAGAGAAACATCAATTTATTGTTCCACTTATTTATGCATACATTGGTGTTTCTTATATGTGCCCTGACTGGAGATCAAACCCACAACCTTGGCGTATTGGGATAGCACTCTAACCAACTGAGCTACCTGGCCAGGGTACCTAAAGAGTATTAAAAATAAAAGAGACAACCATTTGTCTTATATAATTCACGTGAGTGTCTTATGCACACTCTGACCTCTAAGGTCTCTCCCAGATTTATAATTCTTTATCCACTCATATGTTTTACCTGGTTAGTGAATAAGTGGATAATGGATCCTAAAATAGCATTTTACACTTTGTAATGGCAGTAAATGCTGCCATTCCCAAACAAATTCTTGGCAGAGATATTTCTGCTATGGTACTATTTAATCTGATCCGTCCAATAGTAGAATTCTGACTGTGGAATTGTTTATGTAACAATACACGTTGTATATAATTTTTCCTCCCAGTTGATGATGTTTGAAAAGGCTTTAATTTGGATCAATAGATGATGCCAGCTGATGCTCTACAAAATACTATTTATAATTTTATAAATGTTTATAATTGCTCTTTAAAATATATTAAAAGAATGGAGATAAGCAAAATGGAGATAAGCAACCTAATAGATGCTGACTTCAAAATACTGATTATAAAGATGCTCAATGAACTTAGTGAGAACCTCAGTGAACTTAGTGAGGGCCTCAAGAGCATGAAAAAGGACCAGTCAGAAATGAAGGATGCACAGTCAGAAATGAAGGAGGCACTAACTGAAATAAAGAATAATTTATATAGATTCAATAGTAGAGTAGGTAAAGCCAAGAAGCAAACCATCGATTTGGAATATAAGGAAACAAAAAAACACCCAATCAAAACAGCAAAAAACGTGCCAACATTTGCATCTTGGGGGTGCCAGAAGGAGAGGAGAGAGAACAAGAAATCGAAAACCTATCGGAAACAATAATGGCAGAAAACTTCCCTAATTTGGTGGAGGAAATAGACATACAAGTCCAGAAAGCACAGAGAGTCCCAAACAAGATGAACCCCAAGAAGCCCACACCAAGACACATCATCATCAAAATGCAAAAGGTTCAAGACAAAGAGAGAATCTTACAAGCAGCAAGAGAAAAGCAGTTAGTTACCTACAAGGGGGTTCCCATTAGACTGTCAGCTGATTTCACAAAACAAACTTTGCAGGCCAGAAGGGAGTGGCAAGAAATATTCAGAGTGATGAAAAGCAAGAACCTACAACCAAGATTACTCTATCCTGCAAAGCTGTCATTTAGAATCGATGGCAATATAAAGAGTTTCCCAGATAAGAAAAAGTTAAAGGAGTTCATCACCACCAAACCCTTATTATAAGAAATGTTGAAGGGTCTTTTTGAAGAAAAAGATAAAATATATAAACAAACAAAATGGCAATGAATACATATCTATTGACAATGGAAACTACAAACAAAATGAACAGGCAGAACTGAAACATTCTCATAGATACAGAGAACATTTTGTTGGTTGCCAGATGGGAGGGGGTTTGGGGAAATGGTGAAAAACGTGAAGGGATTAAAGAAGTACCAATTGGTTGCTAGACTGAAAAACCTTAAAGAGAAGGGGGTGGGGGTGGGAAGAAATAAACCAAAGAACTTATATGCATATATGCATAACCAATTGACACAGACAACAGTGTGGGAAAAGGCAGGAGAGGGGTGGGAGTGGGGAGGAGGGGGTCAATGGGGGAAAAATGAGGAACATCTGTAATACATTCAACAATAAAGATAAAAAGAAAAAAGGAAAAGAAAAAAAAAAAGAGTGGACACCCATCCCCAGGAAGCAGCAGCACAGATCAGCAGCTGAGACCCATCCCAGCAGCATTAGCAGAGGTTGATCAGGAGTGGTGCCCCAGCCCAAGAAGCAGCAAGGCTTGGGCAGCTGACACCAGCCCCTGACAACAGCAGCAGCAGATTTGGAATGGAGACCCTCCCCCAGCAGCAGCAAAGTCCTGGGAGCCGAACATCCTCAACCACCAACAACAGCAGAGTATTGGGAACTGAGAGCACCTCCTGGCAACAGCAGCAGCAGGGGCAGCAGAAGCAAAAACCAGGAGCTGACACTCACCCCTAGCAGCACCAGCAGTGACTGACCAGAAGTTGAGCCCCACCAGGCAGAAGTGCATCCTAGCAGAGCACTGGCAGGAACAACATGCCCCAGCAGAATACCAGCTGGACCCATGGAACGCAGCCTGGCCTACCACAGCAGAACAGTACTAGCCGCCAGTTGTCAATCTTCTAGGAGCCACAGCAGGCAAGAGGCGCCACACACCAAAAGAATCTGGGAGGCGCAGCAGCCTTATTTGATACACATCAACCTGCCTACACATTGCAACATCCCTCACTGAGCCTAGAATGACCAGACTGAAAACATGGTGAAACAAAGAAACAACACCTAAATGAAAGAAAAGGAGGAATCACCAGAAAAGAAACTACATAAAATAGAAGAAAACAATTTGTCAGATAAAGAATACAAAACAATGATTTTAAGGATGCTCAAACAATTTAGTGAGAACTACATCAGCATTAAAAAAAAGGTAGAATAAAGATCAAGTGGAAATAAAGAATGACATGACATAGCTGATATGAAAAACACCTTGGAAGGATTTAACAGTAGATTAGAAGAAGCTGAAGACTGAATCAGCAAGTTAGAAGACATGGTAGAAAAAAAACCCACCCAAATAGAGCAGCAAATGGGTAAAAAAAATTAAAAAGCAGGAGGAGAGTTTAAGGGAGCTTTGGGACAATACGAGACGTAATAACATTCACATCACAGAGGAAGGAGAAGAATCCGAGAAAGGAATAAATAAGCTGTTTGAAGAAATAATGACAGAAAACTTCCCTAATTTGGTGAAGAAAAGTGTCACACAAGTCCAGGAAACACAGAGAGTCCCAAGCAAGATGAACCCCAAAAGACTCACAGCTAGACACATCATAATTAAAATGGAAAACATTAAAGACAAAGAAAGAATCTTAAAGGAAGCAAGAGAGAGACAGAAAGTTACCTACAAGGGAGCCCCTATTAGACTGCCAGTTGATTTCTCAATAGAAACAATGTAGGCCAGAAGGGAGGGGCATGAAGTATATAAAGCAATGAAAGGCAAGGGACTGAATCAAAGACTACTCTATCCAGCAAGGCTATCATTCAAAATTGAAGGTGAAATAAAGAGCTTCACAGACAAAGAACAAACAAACAAAAACAACCTAAAGGGACCAAACCAGAATTGCATGAAATGCTAAAGGGACTCTTGTAAGAAGAAGAAATGGAGAGAGAGAGAGAGGAACAGAGGAATAAAATAAAAATGGCAACTAAGTATCTATCGATAATAACCTTAAATGTAAATGGTGTAAATGCTCCAATCAAAAGACAAGGGTAGCTGATTGGGTAAGAAAACATGACCATATATATGCTGTCTACAAGAGACCTACCTCACAACAAAAGACTCACACAAGGTGAAAGTGAAGGGATGAAAACAATTTTTCCAAGCAAATGGAAATGAAAAAGAAGCTGGTGTACCAATACTCACATCTTATAAGATAGACTTCAAAACGAGGGCCAAAGAAGGTCACTACCTAATATTAAAGGGATCAATCCAACAAGAGGATATAAGCCTCGTAACCATATATGCACCAAACACAGGAGCACCAAAATATATTTCAAAACTTTTGGAGGACTTCAAGGGAGAGATCAATAGCAATACAATCATAGTAGGTGACATTAACACCCCACTGGATAGATCTTCTGGACAAAAAATTAACAAGGACACACAGTCCTTAAGTGATGAACAAGAGCAGTTGGACTTAACTGATATTTATAGAACATTTCCCCCAAAGCTGCAGAATATACAATCTTCTCAAGTATACACAGGACAGTCTTGAATACAGATCACTTGTTAGGACATAAAGTAAGTCTCTACAAATTCAAAAAGACTTAAATCATATCAAACATCTTCTCAGATCACAATGGCAAGAAACTAGAAATCAACTGCAACAAAAACACACAAAAACATTGAAACACATGGAGGACAAATAGCATGTTATTAAATAATGAATGGGTTACCGAGGAGATCAAGGAAGAAATTAAAAACTTCCTAGAAACCAATGAAAATGAACACACAACACAAAATCTATAGGACGCAGTGAAAACAGTCCTGAGAGGGAAGTTCACAGCACTACAGGCCTACCTCAAGAAACAAGATTCCTAATTGACTTTCTAATCCTACAACTTAAAGAACTAGAACGTAAACAAAAAGAAAAACCTGTGCTGGCCGGTTTGGCTCAGCAGATGGAACATCAGCTCCCGGACCAGAGAGTCCCGGGTTCAGTTCCTACTAAGGGCACGTACTTCAGTTTGCCCTTGGCCCCTGTTCGGGTTGTGTGGGTGGCAACCAGTCAATGTATCTCTCTCCCATCGTTGCTTATCTCTCTTTCTTCCCACTCTCTCCCTCCTGCTCTATCTGAAGATAAATGCAAAAATGTCCTCGAGTGAGGATAAAAAAAAAAAGGAAAACCTAGAGCAAGTAGAAGGAAAAGAAATAGTAATGATCACAGCAGAAATACCACGGAAATACAAAGGATCATTAAAACATGCCCTGGCCGGTTTGGCTCAGCGGTTGGAGTGTCGGCCTGCGGTCCTGAGAGACCCGGGTTCGGTTCCCGCTAAGGGCACGTACCTCGGTTGCAGTTTGTCCCCGGCCCTGGTCGGTTGTGCGG